GGTTAAATTTATTGCTATTAATATCATAAATCAAATTATCACAAGGGATCTCGTTCATCTAGCAACTATTTCATGCAATTCGCTATGCTATCAATCTAATTTCAAAGTCAAACTTAACTCAAATTTATCAGTAAATTTCACGCAACAACGTGATGAGGAAATCAAACTGTTGCAAAATGGTTAATTTAATTGAAATTTATTTATGAACTTTTTTTTCACTGATAGATTGTCAGTAAAATTAGCATCTAACAATGGTATTATATTTCAAAGCAAATTTACACTTCTCTTATAATTCTTCAATAAACTATTTCTCAGTAATTGAGAAAACCATCATACTATTCACATTCTACAAACTAGAAATTCCTAAATCAAGTTTATTTTATGATGGAAAAGATTGTCCATCTTTTACTAGTCTTGCAAAAATTTCATAATTTAGATTAAAGTCAGCTAAAACGATGCGTATATAGTTTATATGCAGCCAGTGAATAAGTAAATGATTTAATTGTTTATACAATTATAATTTTTAGTCGCATATTCAGCCAAAATTTTTATCAAAATTAAACAATAAATAAATTTCTTTTTAAAGTCTATTAATATTTCGGTTAAAAAATTATTAATCATACATTTTTGCAGCCTCATTTTACTTCTGTCTTTCATTTAAAATTTACATCTAATTACTTATTTATTCACTTTTATTCATAAACTATTTGCACCGTCACTTGCTTTATTTGCAGGTACGCGAAGTTCCCAACTTTTTTTGCTTTAGGAAGTAATTATTCATCAAAGTCAGTTATTACACTGCATTTTTGTCCAGTTTTGATTTTGAAAAAAAAGGAAAATCCACAATAAAATTCAATGAAATTAGTGATATGAAATGTGATGAAGTGATATTTTACTTGAAATTGAATTAAACTTCCAAAATTCTAGACCCTGAAAGCCATTGGATGAAAAGAAAAATAGAGTGATGGCCAACATCGATAAGAAGTCAATACTTTGGCAGACGAATTGCAATGATAAAAAGTTCAAAATGATTAGTGTTAATAGCACTAGCTACAAACTTGGTTAAATACTAAGGCCAAGATTAAGAAATGTTATAAATGTCATGTAAGACTGAAAATTATACTTTAGTTAAAATTATGGCTAAAAAAGAGAATTCGAAGCACAAATTATCGATATATGTTTTTGTTGCCTGTTGCGTGCATTTGCGGGCATTCGCATTTGCATTTTAATTAAACATTTCAAGTAGTTAGGAAAATCAGATTATTCTGGCGTAGCAACACCAATTATAGCTGAATTGATTAATGGCTAAAAGAGATGATCTCTATACTTGAATTTTTTTTGATATTCTTTTATTGAATCACTTTTATAATGTTAAAGGATTTTGGTCTTATAAGAATTTTCTAAATCAGATATCTTTTATCATCAATAATTAACAATTGTTGATGATAAAAGATCTCTGATTTGCCTATGTAAACTGAACTACGGCTTACCTATATAAAGTTACTTACCTATATAGAGTTTTATCGAATATCACATTATATAAATTTTTATATATCATATCATTTATTCCTTGATTTTTGTGTACTAAGAAATAAAAGTATTGTGAAATTCATTATATTACTTTACTAAAAAATTAAATTTCAATTCTAATCATCCTTACAATAATTAAAATTTAAATTATTTGAGAAAGAGAGAGAGGAAGAGATCGTTAATGATATCAGTTGACATAATGATATTGTTAGAAAATTAGACAAAAGCAAACAAGTAATTATAATAGTTGCTACTTGAATATTTCTTATTGTGAGATTGACTCTATCGATGATTAAAATTTTTTTTACTGTTCTCAGAAACTAAATTATTCATCTTTAAGTTCAATGATTTAAGATAGGAAACACTACTTGATGGTTTGATTATAAATAATGCATAATTGTTGGTGGAATAATTTGTTATGATTTCTTTTTTCTCAATAATGAATAAGAGCTTAGCTTGGCCAGAAAATTATAGACAGAAATTAAAATGGCCAGATAGTTAGTCTAGACAATTTTGCATAGACAGGACAACTAATATTTAGTTTCCTATACTGCCAGAAAAATTAGTATGTTATAATCGAAAGGTATTAATAATTCTTTTAAGAGTATTCATCATGATCTGATTAGCATTTACAATAATTTTCAATCAATAAAAGATTTTCTAGGCAAAACAACAGTTCACTTGACTGTTATTTACACATTATACCTCGTCAGTTTGAATAGCTTGGAGAAAAATAAAGTTTGCTGTTACAACATCTTTCCAGTGGAGATCTTTTATTAGAATTAACTTTGCCTGTACTACTTTGAATTGATAAAATCTCTAAATTTCATTCATAAATGTGTTCGAAGAATTATTATCAATCCTTAATAATAACAACAATAGCAATTAGCAGTACTTTGTATTGTATCTGCTGCTATCATTCTAAAATAAAAAAAATGATATATTGATTGAGGATTGATTGACTGATTGATTGGTTGAAAATTCTTCGAACACAATTATGGATGAAATTTAAAGATTTTGTCAATTCAAAGTAGTATAAACAAAGTTAATTACTGATTAATTGAGGCCATGATGAGTATTATTGCACATACAGTAATAACTACTGCATACGGTAACATCGATTACAGTAACCATTGGTGATTCATGCATGTTATTAGCAATAATGAAAATTCTATTAAATGCACCTCATTTGCAATTAATTAGATGAATTTGATAGTAATTTCGCTAATGACTAATGAAGAACATGCATACGTGTTGTATATCATAAAAATTTGTCACATTTTCCTTCGATTAAGAGCGCAAAAATTTCGAACATGTTACCAAGCATATTTAAAATGAATTACTTATTAATAATGAGAGAACAGCTTAATTACTGTATCATCAAAAATAATATGTTTATCAGTGATATCAAGAAGTTGGCTATTACTAGTACTAATAATCTGATAATATCGATGATAAAGCTCCGGGTTGTTTTGAACTTTTTTATGGGATTTTTTCGAGAGATAACTTCGTGTGGCACAATCGAATTGTAGTGAAAGGTCAATATTTGATGGTGAGTTTTATTCCTTCTTGACGTTATAATACTATTATCAGGAACTGCCAAGAGTAGGAATGATAGTCGTTCCTCTTTACTGGTTTGTCCCGGGAGGATAATATGGGACTGTTCATTGAGTTTGATTAGAGGAGTGCGGGTGATAAGACCGTTTTGTTCCAGAGCAGTGGGCTATACTCGAGAATGCGCTTCCTTCGAGTTGGGCGATGACTCAATGAGAATTGCTTATGGTCTCTGATAGCAAACAAAGAATCGTCTGGACATACAAATCAGTAAATTAACAAATCATACAATCCTTTGAAGATGAAACTGGTAGTACAAAGAAAATTATTTGATGTTAATCATTTATATTATTCTTTAAAATCATAAATTAAACATTACATATCCTAACATTTGATTGAGGATACAAAAAATTTCCATGAATGCAACGACACTTTGATCATACAAATTTTTCGAGTTATCAATACCAATAAATGATATAACTTCTGTATTATCATCATCAAACAATATTACATGCAATGCAATGAACAAATTTTATCACGAACAATCCATGAAGCAGGGAAATGATTGCCGTCTTGGTAGCCTGAATTATTGATAAATTAGTTAGCCAATTGAGGCATTTGGCTAGTCAATGGCAAAATCAACAGTTAGTTTTTTAGAAATTATAAATAAATGAAAAAAAAGTTTAACACTACTGAATTCATTTGGCACGATCTTTTAATGACACAACAGTACTAGTAATATTTTGATAGGATTTTTCAGTGAATTAATAACATCTTGATAGCAATTTTACATAATACTACAATATCTTATCAGAATTTTTTAAGTGACATTTCTTTTTAAAAATCATATTAAATGGCATTAATTTATTAATCAGAAAAAAAAAAAAACTTTAAAAGTTTTATAGACAAATGTTCCTTCTTTATCTAACTGTTTTCGTATAACAATTTGTATTGAAATATATTTTTTTTTAAAGGCTATTCCTTGTTATGATTATTGCCGTGTAGGTTGTAGATACTATAGGAAGTGTTCAATTAAAATTAATCAGTAAAACAAAGTGATAAAAATAATATTCAGAAGCAAACTGTAAATCTAAGCATAAAATTTGCTTTTGTTTCGCTTGAGTAAGTGGAACTAGAACTATGTAAAATCGGAAGTGTAACTCAAAATTATTTCATGCACACATTTAGCATCGTTCAAAACTCACCAAATTTAAATTTCACAAAAAAAAAGTTGAAAATCATCTTAATAAAGAGACAAAAACTAATTTGTAGTAAATAATTTACCTCATTTTGTTTCTTCAAATTACTTTTCGATCCTGTCAATTAAATCCTGAAGAGAGTGTTTGCTGAAGTTGCGTATTTGAAAATCATTGTTTGCAATGAGTCAGACTTATAGCTATGATGAAAAACTGACAGTGTCCTCCAATCTTCTCATTTAACCAATTATGTTGCAAAAATTATCCAATATCATTTCTATGCTTCTCCTCATCTACATTTTCACTTTTCCAGGTTTGCTTTTTTTTTTTCATTAAATTTTTTCATGCAATATTTTTCAATTTTCCTTTTTTAAATTTTCCTATTTTTCGAAACAAATAAAATATGTTTTTTTCTATGCAATAAATAACTTCAGCAAGGACGTTAATAAGTTTGTAAAAAAAAATTGTTCAGTTTACCAATTTCAATTTAAATTAAAGATATAGGAAGTAATTTTTTTTCATCAAAGTTCATAATTTTGGAAAGAAAAAATTCAATATTTAGAGAATATTTCACTATTAATTTGAAAATTTGCAAAATGTTGAATTAATTTCTGCATTAAGTAGTGTTTTTGCAGAAGTTAAAATTGTTGTGAGTTTAAAGTTATTGTTGAGACATGAAATTTCATATCCTAATTAAACATATAAAAAATTAAGGTCAAGACATAATTCCCGAAATTCGTAACTTTCGGTAGCATAATAAAGTGATCAAAGATTTGTTCAATATACGCCAATAATTTTAAATTTAATTGATTACCGTCCGAAAATATTGTTTACTGCGCAATATCTAAATTCAGGAATAATAATTGCCGATAATGACGCTTACAGCTATGCGCTTAGTCAATGCGGTATTAGCTTTGGTGATCATTATTCGTTACAATGGAAAGTGTTAGGTAAACGAGTTCGTTTTGAATTGAAACTTTCCAGTATACCGGAAAATAAAGATTTTTGGATTGGTATCGGATTTAGCAAAATTCAAGTAATTTTTAATTCTACTTTTTTTGAATTTTCTGCATACGATTTTATCTTCGTTTAGGTTAAATTTATTTTAGTATCACTCAAAAATTAATGGTAAAATGTTTAGTGAATAGCATTTTTTTTTTGCAGGTGAATTCGCCGGTTGACGAAAGTGAAGTATTGGCAATCCTAAGACTGCAAGGTGTCATATCATTGGAAATTTTCAGCATTAAAGTACAATTTTATTTTCCATCACAATATTCACGAAATTGATTTGAATAATAAAATTTCTTCAAGATAATTAATTAATTTTTAATTTCTTTTGTAAAAAATCAAAAAATAAAAAGTGCATTTGAGAATTGTGCTATAAAAGTTACAAGTAAATCTGTGCATTTGAGAATTGTGCTATAAAAGTTACAAGTAAATCTATGTTAAATTGAAATGTAACAAATTATATTGCTAAAATATTTTAATATAAGACTCATTCTTCTCCAGCAAAATTTTCTTACAACTTCAAACTGATGGTGAAAATTTTTTATTTATCACGTTTTCATACTGTCTTGTTCGATTCATTAATTTTTTAAATGTGTAATTTTTATTTCGCTACTTTACTGATTTCGTGCTTGAATTCAGAGTGGAAGAATAGAATCAGCTGAATCAATGAATGATAAGGATGAACAGGTTGCTCTCACCTTCACATACAAGAATTCAACCTCATTAAATTCTAATTTTACTCGTTCGCTTCACACTGATCACTTCTTTAATAACAGTATCAATGATTGCGCAATATGGACGGTATTGAAATTTTTTTCTTTTTTTTTCAGTGAAAAAGTCATTATTCTTTTATTAAAAAACTTTTGGCATTTTAGTTAAATGGCTTGATTTAAATTAATAGAGCTTTTTTTTTTCGTTCAAATAATTTGGTTTCAATTTGTATATATAAATTAAATAATTTAGTTTTATACGACACCAATCCTAATAAATGAAACATTCGTTGATCCCATATTTGATGCACTCATTTGCAATTTATCCATTTTATGTACGTCTTATTCGATCGATAATTCATCTAACGAATTGCACCGTAAATAATTTTATGATTAATGTAATCTATTTAAAATAAACAATAGGAATATACTGAAATAGAATGCTTAAAATATTTTTCAATTGTTTTAACTTTCTATTAATGTATGTTAACTTATAAGCAAAAAAAATTTGTATAAAAAAGTTACCCTAAAAAAAGTGTTCAAATTTCAAGAATTCCTAAACTTTTTTTGCTTTTTCTATCTCCATCTAATAGCATGAAATTATCTTTTTTTAAGGTTTAAAATTTTAATATTAAATGCTGCAATTTTTTATTTAGCACGAAATCGACGTCAAATATTTGCAACTAATAGCACTCAAGCAAATCGAACAAACAATTCTGAAATTTCAAATTTCTACAATCCAGTCATTAATCCGCACTCACCGAATTATACCGACGTATTGCGCCAAAATCATGAAGCATTACTGCAATATGAAGGTATTTCGATGGTTTATTACATTTGAATATAATTCATTTCAATTCTATTTTAGATCCTTCCTGTACATTACCGGATCCTTATTGGTGCAAGAATTACGTCAAACAATACATCGACTGGCAACAAACATACAATCATCGATCGATGCAGGTATTGTCTTTTCCAATTAATGCATTAAAATGAAATAAACGCAGAATATCAACCTGTCCAACTTTTCATTTTTATTACTTCCTTCCGCTTAATTAAAAAAGTACTAATTATCTGCTGAAGTACTTCATGTTAAGTATCATTCATTTCAACATTTTAAATTGATTTCAAATGTTATCATTTATTATTTGAAATTATTTTATTATTACAGTAATTTACTTTCATCGCAAATTATAGATAATTTTTTGCCTCTAATCTCAGATAGTTTGCGCATCTCTTAAAGCATCGGTGGCTAATGCACACAATCGATGTTGTCAGGCAGTACAATCTACCGGATGTTGAACTGTGTTGAATGAAATTGATTGAGGGAAATTTTTGGAATAAAATTTTTTGTTTCCGCAATTTTTGTTATTAACAAAATGGTAGCATTAATTATAAAAATAGGAAAATTTTGGCAAAATATTCCTTACAATTTGTATTCTGTTAATCATCGATTAACTTCATTAATAATTTTGATTAGCAATAAACTTTCTAGCAATTTTTGGCCTTTTTTTTTTTTGATATTTCACCAAAGGAAATTGAACGTGGAAAAAAATTAGTTGTGATAAAATTTCCCAACTTTTTTCTGCTATAGAATTTTAAAACCTATTTTACGAAATTTCAGCTGAAACTTTATTGGGCGAAATTTTGAATCAGAAACGATATTTTAATCTGAATTCATGAGAGATTTTGATTCATTTGTTGGAGAATGGAATAATATATAAAGGGTTTATGAATAAGCTTCAAACTCATAAATCAATGGGTATTTCAATATCTCTCTGAGGAATTAACGAATAATTTTGTGAAATAATCTTAACATTATAAGATATTCCATCGAACCAGTAAACTGGGAAAGAATAGTTTGATCACTAGTCTATTAGGCTCATTAAAAATCTGGAGGCCTGCCTGCATTTAGCTCATAATTGAAACTGAAAGCTAGGCCTGGTACATAATACCTAATATAATTTCAACTAACCCTCATAGTGTTAGAATTCTTGTCACATCCAAAAAAAAAATGCAAAATTTATTTAATTTTAATAAAATTAAGCGACTAGAAGAATCATTTTATTTGTTTATTCATGTAATTAATAAAGCTCAAACCAGAAATTATAGAAGCTAGGCAACTTTTTTTGGTAAAATAAATTGAATGGAAATAGATGAATGAAAAATGGAAAAAGTCATAATCATAATCATGATTGTTTGATTGCAAACAAATAGAGAAATATTACAACAGTACAAGTAAAAGCTAAATTTAATGCACCTTTTAAAATATACGGTATATCAGTTTCAACATAACGATAGAACGGCTGTAAAAGAATTGCATTGGATTGTCGTGTTAATGGATGCTGAAATTTTCTTAAACAACAATTTCTTATCAGTGGTATGATTGCAAAAAAAAGCAAGCATTGTTTGATGGATGCTAAATCTTTCTGATAAAAATAGCTGATATTATTTGACACATTGATTTCATTTAACATTGCAAGCTATAATATAAAATGAATTATAATCAAATCCCTTTTAAAAAATGCAGTATAAATTATAACATTATAAATTATATGGCTAATTTTACAATATAATAAATGAAATAATCAAGTTAATTGGCATTATGCTAGAAAAAAAGCCGATGAATCAATTTGATATTGGAGAAAATTAAGCGAAAGTTGTTCTTATTTTATAATTAGAATTATTAAACTAATGCAAATATTCGCTTAAATGATTTGTAATGAAATATTAATGGAAAAAAAAGTGGCAAATAATCTAACTTTGCTTGTGAAATAAAAGGAAATCAGTTGGATGATACTATCGAATAGTAATCCATCGATAGTGAAATATTTACCACTTTTTTTAATTCCAAAATGATAATGTTTATTATTCCATTTTACGGATAATACTGTCTTTATTTGCTGCAATCAATAATTGATACTTTGAGAATTTTTAAATTATAACTTAGCATAGGCAGAAATTCTAAGAATAAGTTTAAATAGTGATATGAAATCGCTCATCTAAGTATGTAAAGCTGTTAGCTACAACTAAATCATTTAAAACTATTAAAATTTTATTTCCGATATAACAAATTATTTTCCAGATTAGACTAATGCCTTATTAAACTTAATACATTTATTCATTGTCATGATTTTCCAGTTACTAAATTTAATTTCTAGTAATTGTTACTGTAATTATCCAAAAGTTTCGCATTTTTCTTTTTTATCATAGACTAAAATTTTTGCAATAGAAAATTTGAAAATTAACTAAAAAACACCGACAAGATCCAATTTTGAACGTGCTGATCGTACGAGAAATTGCCCATTTTGTTCCAATAATTCACATGTCAACTTCTTTCCTAAGCGGCCGTGATACCAAAAGAAATTTCCTAATATTTCCACTGAAATATAACTTTCATTATTTGTATACTTCGATTAATTCCAATCTTCTTTTATTGAAATTTGAAAAAAAAAAGAACAAAAATTTTCTGCTCTTTGATATGATTGCTAAAAATCAATTCTTCGCGCAAGATAGGAAAATTTTTGTTGAAAACTTAATATTTTTGTTGCATTTTGCTTGTTTCGGTGCGAATTTCTTTACAGTATTTCTCTTCAAGCATTCATTGGAAGGTGATATCTGTAAAGCGCAATTGTCCCTATCTTTTGCAGTTCAGTAAACTGATAAAATTTCTCGAGCAAAAATCACAATACATATATGCAGCTGTCATTTAATTTATTTCTTAAGTGAACATTTCGAAAAATTTTTACATTCAAAATTTAACATGAATAAAAATTAACAAAAGCTAATAAACATTTTGCTAGAAATGATTTGAAATGTATAGTTGAAATCAATAATGAGAAGGAAATTTCCTGATAATTAATAAATATCCTGTTAAAGCAATTCATACAAGACCGGATGAACAATAAGAAAAAAACAAAACATTATTCGGATCAAAGTTAAAATTTGTGTGATGACCTTTTGTAACTTTTCACAAAGAATGAAATATAAAGAATTTTTTCGTAAAATTTGTAAATTTATGTATGGGAAGGAAATTATTGGTGAAAACAGCAAAATTTATTACACAGCAGCAGGAGCCAACAAAGAAAAAATATAATTAATCATAAATTTGAAATTTCAACTGAAAACATTATTGTCATGCCGATCATACCCAATTTGTTTTTTCTGGAAATTAAAAAATAAAATTGTTACGAAAGATAGATTTTGTAAATTTTTCCTGAAAAAAAAAAAAAAGGAAATGATCAGTCATTTCACTCCCAGTTCGTATTGTATCAAATCCTAATCCTAATCCTCTAATTAACACAGGTATAATATGAACTTTACCCGTTAATTTTGTTATCTTTGTAAAATCAACTATGTTAATGATTATTTAAGATCATCTTGCAATACAATTACCGCATCCTTTAATGCTATATTTTAAACAGTTAACTGAAATAGATGATGCATTCGACGTAGGCCACATTTTTGCATCACCAAATGCCAAATCGAACCGACCAATTAACTTATTTAACAAGTAAATGATACATTTTTATTGCTAGTTTATTTAAATAAAATAAGGCTTAAATGTCGTAACTTTAACAAATAAATACTGAATTAAAAATTAGCAAATTATATGTGGAATGTTTTATTCATAGATATCGAAAAACCATAATATTATATTCGACTAAACTTAAATAACAAAAGTATAAAATTTTCATTTTATAATAATTTATCAATTGTTATTGTAATGCTTGTAATGAATATCATATAACAATCTTTCAAAATATCTCATTTAATTTTATTACTTTTACACATCGATAAGTTCAAATTCTTATCTCTCTCTCTCTCTTTCTTATCTTATAAGAGATATTTCAAATTAATTTTTTCTTCTCTCCACATAAATGTATATATATATATATATTTTTTTTGGAAAATTTAAAGAACGTAATTTATTCGTTCGATCAGCTTGAATGAATGGAATAATTTAAAAAATGTGGAAATAATGAGGTGTTGTCATTATTAATTTGAAAGTAAATCAATTAAGCATAATAAGATAAAAAATGAAACGAAATATCTTTTAGCTATCAATAAAAGGTAATAATTTTTGTATGCTAAAATGTTATAAACAAAATTTGGTTATTTAGAAATTGGCTGGCAACTTCATGGTATGATTGCCAAATAATTTTTTATTTATTGTCGAGCAAAAGATTGGCATCAAAAATTCAATGCCACTTTTTTTTAAACTTATACTAGTTTAAAATGTGCCGAATCGTTCCATTTTTAATGTTTGGATAGGATCAAAATAATTTTGTAATTTAGCGGAATACTTTCGACTATTTCATTCATTT